GAAAAATACATGCTTAGAGCAGTTCCTCGAATCAAATATCTTGTTTGTCGCGAGGGGCATGAATGAATTCCCTGAATGAAAGAGCCAAACTGCAGTAAAAGTCCACCATTTAATAATTTGGCAAATAATTCGACTACAGATGTCCATGCAAACACAGTCACTTTCTCCCCTATGGTGTGTGTGTGTGTGTGTGTGTGTGTGTGAAAACACCCTGCTGAAACGAGGGGGTTTCATGGCCCTTTAACTGAGACTACAAATTTGCCAATACACTTACTAGCCACACTCTGGCAACCACTTACAGCAGTGGTCCTCAACCACCGGGCCGCAGACCGGTACTGGTCTGTGGAACAATTAGTACTGGGCCACATAAGAAATCATAAATTATTTATGTAGAAAATATTCCCCCCACGATTTGGTTTCTTCCATTTACCCCCGCCATCTCACGTGAAATGGACTATGCCAAAATCCACCACGGAGCGGGAACGATTGCTAGAATATCGCTCAGTGGTGGTTGTTGATAGTTTAAAGTTATAAAACAGGTATTATAGAATGCAAATCAGCAGAGCATTTAAGGATTGTGCATATATCTGTGCTTGCATCGCTAAGTACCCGAAATCATTGCAATATGTATCTATACAGAGTTTCTCATAATCATGCTCATTAGGGCTGTAACATGCCAATGCATACATTTTATTCGACTATACGGTTGTATTATTGTTAATATGAACCTCAGTTGAAATGTTTGGCACAGATTTGATGTATTTGATGCATATAAACCTTGATTGAAACATAATCAGACCGCGATAGTGCAACTAGCGCATGCGCACTGAGTTGTTCATGATTAACCTGGATGCACGAGAGCAGCAGCTGTGTTCACGTTTGCAAATGCCTAGCAACACCACAGCAACCACTGAGAACATCTTAGCAACCACCTAGCAACCACTCAGTACACCTTAGCAATGGCTTAATGCCTTAGCAACCACCTAGAACGCCCTAGCAACCGTATAGCAATACCTTAGTAACCACTTAGAACACCCTAGCAACCACCTAGCAAGAACTTGGCAATCACCTAGAACAGCCTGGCAACTGCCTAGCAACGCCTTAGCAACCACCCAGAACATCTTAGCAACTGCCTAGCAACACCTTACTAACCACAGAGAACACCCTTGCAATTGCCTAGCAACCACTAAGGACATCTTAGAAACTTCCTAGCAACGCCTTAGCAACCACCTAGAACACTAGCAACACATTAGCAATTACTTAAAACACCCTAGCAACCACCTAGCAATACCTTAGCAACCGCCTAGCAACACCTTAGCTACACTCAGAATACCTTAGCAAATACCTAGCAACACCTTAGTAACCACTTACAACATCCTAGCAAGGGCTTAACAATGCCTTAGCAACCACCTAAAACACCCTAGCAATCCCTTAGGGTTGCGCTCCAATCGCGCTCGGTAATAGGCATACGGCTATATGAAAAGAGAATTAGGAGTAGGGCGGGAGATCATTCCAGACATCCCAAGTCCCGCAAATGTACAGAGACTACCGGATGCAAGCAAACGAGTGATAATCTTCCGGAAATCGCGCGTCTCCCTCCCGGTCCTCAAATACGTTGTGAACCCATCTCACCGTGAAACTCTGACCAATGTGAGGATAGTTTACTCACACGTGACTTGTTTTAGCTCTTTTGGTCTGTTTAGAAACTTTGCAGTGTGAAAGCGAACCGCACCAAGAACAACAAGCAACACTGTAACAAGCTTAATCCCTGTTTCGGAAGAACTGAATCGATTCATAGGTGTGAAAGCATCTTTAGTAACCACTCAGAACACCCTAACAATGCATTAGCAACCACCTAGCAACCACTCAGAATACCTTAGCAACTACCTAGCAACTACTTAATACCTTAGCGACCACCTACAGCACCCTAACCCCTTTAGGAACCACTGAGAACACCTTAGCAACCGCCTAGCAACACCTTAGAAACCACCTAGAACACCCTAGCAATAACAAAGTTTCTGTGCTAAACTTAAAATGCAAAAAAGGCAATAATGGTGCAACATTCCTGACCATTATCACCAATAAAGCCTAGAAAAACATGCTATCAGTATATTGTAAACATAGGTTCAAAAATTCCTTTCCAGTTATCGAAAAAAAGAATTTGTTTTTTAATTATAGTTATTGTTTTGTAAATTTTAAATTGTTTTAAAATTCTAACGGGGGAAACTCATTTTTCTTAATGATGTATTGGGGTCTCCACTTTTGCCATGTCCTCTTTTGGCTTTAACAAATTTATCCTTCAGGTTTTTTCAAACATTTTAACAAAAACTTTCTTCCTTTCCCATGGCTGTTGCAATTTCTAGCCAGGAATTATTGATCATCTGGTTATCTCTATGATCACATATCATAAAGGTGTCTGTACAGGCATACTGTTGCAGACAAAACCTCTTCAAAGCGTTTCATATTCAACTCAAATCAAAAGTGGCGCATCGCGCTCTGTTCGCTTGAGTTTAAAAAAAAAAATCATGGCTCCGCTGGCCGAAATCATGTCGCGCACAATCAAAGCGAACATCCACAAACACAGTGATGACGTCACATTCGCTGTGCGCACTCAAACAAACATGTCAAGAATAATTCAGGCTTTAACAGCCTCTCAACCTAGCAATCGCCTATTAATGCCTTAACAACCGCTCAGTGGTGGACCTAGCAACCACTCAGAATACTGTTGCAACCACCTAGCATCACCTTAACAAACCTGGAACACCCTAGCAAGGCCTTAGCAACCGCCGAGCAACCAATCAGAACACCTTAGCAACTGCTTAGCAAGAAACATGCCAATCCATATTAGAAACAGGCTAACATACATGTAGTTATCTATCTATGCCAATTGTTTCAATTCTCTTCAACTATTACATTTTGAATTTACTTCAAACTTTCAAACGAGGCTCTCAAGCCACGATAAAGTTTGTCTACGAACTTTTACATTTCCTTTTTTTTATTTTAACGTCAGGAAATTTAAAGAGACACTCATTGTGCTTATATCACTCCAGTATGACTGTGGACACACTTAAACAGAGTTCTGTACAAACAGTTTCCAAAATATAATTTTATCATAGGTGCACTTAAAATGATAAATTCTTTCCAAGTTGAGTTATTCAAGTCTGGCAAAATTATATTCAGATCGCACAAAAACCAAAAAGTCGCTTGAAAAGCAAAAACATGGCAATGTCCATTTTTTCCAGTACCGTGCAGCCAAAAAATATATATATATATATAATAAAAAAAGTGTTATTTTTAATTATATTTGCAGCATTGATAAACAAAAGTATTTTTTTTTCCAATTTGGGTAGAAGAATTAAAAAAATTAATACTTTTATTCATCAAGGATTTTGGACTAGGTAGCAGTGAACAAATAAATGGTGCACAGAAAAACAGACAAATAAATAAACAGACAAATAAATACATAACTTATGACAATAATTAATTCGTTTTAAATAATAAATAATTTTGTTGCTGAATATTTAAATAAAGCAGCTCAGATCTAAAGCAACTACTTTTTTTTTTACAACCTTCTAATGATCACTATACACATACAGTGTTGGGTGGAATTAATTACAAAGTTTAGATAATTTAATTACAGTTACTAATTTACTTGCCTTAAATACTGTACATATATTCAACAATTTTAAATAAATTAATTCAGAGAAGGAGACAGACAGACAACAAGCTAGACAGATAGACAGACAGACAGACAGACCACTATACAGATGGCAAGACAGATAGCAAGCTAGAAAGATAGACGGATAGGCAAACAGCGAGCTAGACAGATAGATAGACAGACAGATAGCTAGACAAATAGCTAATTATATAAATAGACAGATAGCAAGACAGACAAATATATAGACAGACAGCAAGCTACACAAATAGATAGACAGCTAGACAGCAAGCTAGACAGACAAATAGACAGATAGCTAGACAGACAGACAGACAGATAGCCAGAGAGACAGACAGACAGATAGATAGCCAGATAGACGGACAGCAAGCTAGACAAATAGATAGACCTCTAGACAGCAAGCTAGACCGCTAGACAGACAGACAAATAGAAAGATAGATAGACAGACAAATTAATAGCCAGACAGACAGATAGCAAGACAGCAAGATAGACAGACAGCTAGCTAAATAGACAGACAACAAGCTAGACCGCTAGACAGACAGCTAGACAGATAGCTAGACAGACAAAGACAGATAGCTAGACGGACAGACAGCAAGCTAGACAGACAGACAGCAAGCTAGACAAATAGATAGACAGCTAGACAGACAAACCGATAGATAGCTAGACAGAGACAAATAGCTAGACAGACAGACACAGACACACACACCAATAAACTGCACACGCTTAAATGTATTGAATAATAAACTAATAAACAAACAAATAAATGACTAAATACATAACTAATCACAATAATCACCAATATTGCTGAACATTAAATAAAAACAACAAAAAGGATCTAAACTTCTGCATGTTAGTGTATACACACACACACAAATCTGTTTGTGACAGGTCAGATGGCAAGACTATGGAGTGTGCACTGTGGCAGCTAAGCTGTGTACCACGAGATTTAACAATAAAACAAGCCCTCATTCCTCACTGGAGTGCTGAAGTCGTATCTATATTCTAGAGTTCGTTCGACTTAATCTTTCAGTTCGGTACTGATCGCTGCCCAGCCAAGTGTTTATTTTGCACTGGAATATCTGAGGGAGTCAAGCAGACGCTCCTGCGCACACTCAGATAAGCCAGCTACATTTTTCAGGCTTTACAGGAGCAATCAAAGCTGCTTACGAATCCGTTTCAGTTGGAAGAACAACTTTATTTCAACAGGCTTTTACTCAACCCGTGACGGCAAGCAGGTGCTATAGTAGTATCAAACCATTTCACCGCCTCAAGGAGAGAAAAAACCCCAGGAGATGGCTGTGATTCTGTGTTTTATTTCAGGTCTTACCTCTCCCTTGTTGGCGCAGTGCATCACGGCAGGAGGCCCCAGGATACGGCTGTCATTCTTGTACAGGAAGCTGTATTCAGGAGCCTGGAAGTCTTTCAACACAAACACCGTCTCGAACTCGCAGTTCTCACCATCACCGAAATCACAGACATTGTCAGTCTTGATACAGGGGGTGTTTAAATCCTAACGGGATTAAGAGAGAAATTCATTGTTGATTTCATGATGTTGAGAAAACAATATCAATAAACGTATTAGATGGACTGAGATCAGCATCTCCACTGATGCACAGAGATCTCTCCTTCAGAAGAGATCTCAGAGATGTTAAGGTGCTCTGACAAATGACATGCTGAAGAGAGACAGCAGTCGTTTGTCAAATGTAGATTTAGTGGATACAAACACAAGTGTCAAGGGCAGTTCACACAGGACAGCTAGACGCGATATTATGGAACAAAATGAAGGACATGTGTTGCACATGATGTCTTTACTGAGTTGAATTTAGATTTTTTTCTTTTTTACACGATATATTTGTTGCCGTTATTCAAGTAGTCACCTAGAATGGCATATACATTTAATCACGATACATAGATGACAACAAAATGATTTTTTTTTTTCATACAATTTGTATATTTAAAATGATAACTTGTATTCAATTTATATTTTAGTTTACTTCATATTAAAATTGGGTCAATAGACAAAGCCATCGTTCAACGCCGATGGCCGACAGACATCACGATGCTGAGCCGGCATCATGATCCTCTGTCTCTATCTAATGGTCTATTGAGTCTATCAGTTAACATGTCACAGCGTCAGTACACTGCTTCAATCTCTTGCTTTCACCCTTGTACTTATTTTAGGTAATACCTCAGATACTGTTGGTTGTGCACTTCAAATTTTGAAGCCCTTCCCCTTCACACACTGTTTCAAGGGCCAAGGGGTAGGAGTACAAAAATAGAATTGGGATTGGGTCTTAATATTTAGTCAAGTAATTAAACTACTTATTGAGACGCTATCGAAGTTATTTTGCAGATAAAGTGCTTAGAAAAGCAATTTAAAAACAACAATAATGTAATTAGTAATCAATTACTTTTCTGAAGTAACTTGCTCAACACTGCATGCAAACATATATGAAGTAACAGATAGACAGACAGACAGACCGCTATACAGATGGCAAGAAAGATGGCAAGCTAGAAAGATAGACAGACAAACAGCGAGCTAGACAGATAGATAGACAGATAGTATTACAGATAGCTAAACATACAAATAGACAGACAGATAGACAGACAAATAGATAGACAGATAGATAGACAGCAAGCTACACAAATAGATAGACAGCTAGACAGCAAGCTAGGCCGCTACACAGACAGCTAGACAGACAGACAGATAGATAGATAGCCAGATAGACAGACAGATAGCTAGACAGAAAGACAGACAGACAGATAGCCAGACAGCAAGTTAGACAGCAAGCTAGACAAATAGATAGACCGCTAGACAGCAAGCTAGACCGCTAGACAGACAGACAAATAGACATAGCTAGACAGACAGATTAATAGCCAGACAGACAGATAGCTAGACAGAAAGACAGACAGACAGCTAGCTAAATAGATAGGCTAGACCGCTAGACAGACAACTAGACAGATAGTTAGACAGACAGTGACAGATAGATAGATAGACAGACAGACACCAAGAAACTGCATATGCTTAAATAATAATTAAATAATTAAAAATAATAATGTAATTAGTAATCAGTTACTTTTCTGAAGTAACTTGCTCAACACTGCATGCAAACATATATGAAAGAATTACGTCCGGTGTGATAAAGCCCTTAGGTTTTTTGAAGGGAACAGAAGAGAGATCTGTTAGTCCGGAAACTTTCATTAAACTGGTTATTTGAGATTCACTTTCAAAAATGATTACTCTTACCTGAATGCAAAAACAAATACATCAAAAAATAAACTCAATTTTAAAAAGTGTTAATCAAAGGGTAGATTATATAACAGAGTGAATTAATATTTAATTAAATGGATTAAAGACCACCTGTTGGACAAACACAGAAAACGCTGTTAGAACTTAGTCCAGACCACCATGTGAGTGACTTTGATATTAAACAGCACAGTGCCATACCGAATCCCTCTCCTCCCCGTAACACACCATGCCGCAAATCCCCCCCGGTGCTCCCAAGCATGCAAAGATTCCAGGCCCTGAGACGTACCATATTGACTATAGATTTTATCAATTTCTCACGCGCTTCTGTGCCCGGCTGCCCTTCTTTAATCTTTACCACCGGGACTTCCATTATTGTGATGGCCTGTAAAAATGAAGAATTGACGTCAACCTGGCAACCCAAAAGCTGATAAATTTCACAGGCAGGAAAGCCTTACAACCTGTCAGAACCATGATGAGAACTTCAAACAAATGTCAAGCAAAGTCCAGAAGGAAGTTCTGCTACGTTAATAAGTTGCGTAAGGGCAGGGAGAAAAGATTACTAAAAGCAGTAACTAAA